ATTTGAACTGTAAACATTGTACGTATCCACTCGTATCCCATTATCAGTATTATCCCAAATCCGAACACGTAAGTATTTATTTTATTTAAAAGGATTGAACACGCGTTCGCATAATATATACTTACTGAGCATACCTTTTTATAACACGATTACATACGGATAATAATGTATTTGAATTGTGCAACGTTGTCGTATTTACTTTTACATTAGATAATATTATTACTTGTAAGTCATTATGAAATGTACGGTAGTTGCTATATATCGCAACCATTGGATATTATACATGATTTTAATTGATGTTCTAGTGTTTTTTTTTTCTTAGTGTTTAATTTAACTGTGAATCAAGTCACGACACTATCGTCTTTTAAGCCTTTTCAGCAGATTTCCAGGAATGTTAACTGAGTTAAGTGCAGAAATGAGTGGATTCGAATGGTTTGCGAACGAGACAGCAGCGGAAGCGCTTATTGTAGTAAGATGTGGCTACTTCCACGACAGTCTGAAATCTGCATACCAAGATGTGAATGGATCTACACTAAAGTATATGATTCGTTACACAGAAGGACCCGTTAGTAACCATACGGAGTGATATAGATTGGAATGCTTGTATTTTTATAAATGTTGGATTTTTTTTTTGCCTCYCCTCGTTTTTGTACACCATATAAGTCCAATAGTCCAAATAGGCTTCAGAAGAGTTATTATGTAAGGCGACAATTTATTTTTAGATTGAATTTGGAATGTTTACCTATAGGAKTGGTTGTAGGATGACTTTCGTCTTGAGTTTAATAGGAGACGTTTTTCTTATATATGCTCTGCCCAAGTTGAGTGTTTGTCAAGGATCAAACCTGCTATAAGTACTTGACACTAGTCATCGCTGGAATAATTTTATTTGACAGAAAAGGAGGAGGGACAATTTCTCTTGTCTAAGGGAAAAATRTATATGCCAAGACTTCTCATTGTTGATTKTAATTTGGAATTTATGTAAACGTATAATATTATATATGCAGGTATTATAAGTATACAYTCTATAATGCTACCAAAACTGCAGTTATGAACTGTTTGGCTAGAAATTATTCCAATGGACAAGGTTAGATGAACATTAGGTGTAGAATAAAATAAGYAAAATAAGTTTTATTAAGTTATAAAGCTTGGCAAAGACATAATAGTTTCGAAAAAAGTATGCAATAAYCCAACATAATATTTAAGTTCCAACATGGTWTAGTACAGTTTTCTAACTTTTATATTTAAAGCCATGCACATGTTCCAAACTATATAATTAATTCAAATGAGATACGATCCAAACATAAAAAKACCATAATTCTATCAAAGTCTATGCTTTCTGTGTTACTATTCATTGTATAGGTACTTATTATTTATTTATATGCAAATATAACTATATAGACGATTTCTGCTAGGTTTATTGTTACTATTTTATATTTTTAGGGTGGTTTTATGTGTTTACAGACCCAAACTAAAAAAAATTATTCCACGTTAATTCATAAAATAATATAATAAATCGTAATATAATATTATGTAAATATGAAATCATGTTTTGTACTTTCAAAGAAAATAGAAATCTACAACATCTAACACAGCTAAAAATGACGATAAAAATCACCGAGAATAGTAGCACCCATATAATATCATAGTAGCTGGCAAATAAAATCCAAAACGCAATGTTTTTGGTTTTGCGATAAAAAAATTATTAAAATTATTAGTTTTATGCGTTTCCAGATAACGACAAAAAACTAAAAGAAGAAAATCGAGCTAGCACACGCATATCACACATACGTA